TGTTTCATCTTTTGTCTTCTCCAGATGTTAACTGATGGACTGGAGTGATTACTTGTGGATTATTGTGATGTTTTTATCAGCTGTTTGGACTCTCATTCTGACGGCACCCATTCACTGCAGAGCATCCATTGCTGAGACACTGATGCAGTGCTACATTTCTACAAATCTGATGAAGAAACAAACTCATCCTGATGGCCTGGTGAATTTTCATTTCTGGGTGAACTATTCCTTTAAGTTAGTAAAACTAACATCCATCACTGTACTAGATCAAGTCCTCAGTATATATTGGGTAACAGCTGAACCTCAGACATTCCTTCACCTCTCGTCATCACAAAACTATGTCACAAACATGATTCTAGTGGGAAAGGATGTGATTCATTGCTGTTTTGCGCTCTTAAAATAGCATTCTCAGAACTAACTCACTTTTCTACGTTATGTTTTTAGTAAACTGGTGTATAAGTGATTTTAGAGGATGCACGGCCTTTTGCAACCACATTTCACACCAGCAAAGTGATAGAATAGTTTTTGGACTACATTTTCGACACTAAACTTTATTGTTATGAATTCAGACTGTACAAACTTCAAAGGTTTTGATTGTAAAATGTGTTTGTGTATCTTGTCTTCAATGAATGGCCCCTGATTAGATGCTGCAGTATATCATTCAGCACAGGGGGCGGGGCGTGCGTCTGTCATGGGGGCGGGGCTTTCGGGTCAGCGGGGGGCGGGGCGTGCGGTTGCCAGGACTCGTGTGGGAAGTGCTGAAATTTCAACGCGTCACAGCTGCGTTACACACGGATCATACGCAGATTCTGATCGCTGAGGAGCTCGCGTGAACGACGCGTCCGGCGGCTCTCTGGCGGCTGTGAGCCGAGAACGAGTCCTCCGGTTGATAACTCAGCAGCTAACGAACTACTACACTAGCCCGTTAGCGAGCGTCACTCACGCGCCAGCATCGCAGCTCTCGGATATTAACTCTTCTGATCAAGCTGATCGATCAACCAATGATCATGGAGAGGAAGCTCAGATATTAACACTTCCGATCGAGCTGATCGATCAATCAATGATCATGGAGAGGAAGAAGACGGACTGTCCGGCGCTTCCACCCGGCTGGAAGAAGGAAGAAGTGATCCGGAAGTCCGGGCTGAGCGCTGGGAAGAGTGATGTGTATTATTACAGGTAAGTCTTTTTTTTTTTTAATATATATTTTTCTGTATGTTCGCGAGTTTGTTTGAAGCGCGCGCGTTAAAGCGTTATATTGTATCCAGAAGAAGCGCTGAACTCGCTGGAGAGATACATTGTAACTCCTGCGCCGTGACGTCACTGCATTACAGCACGCGTGTGATGAGCTCGAGCGCTTCCTCTGAGCGTCACCTGTTGAGTGCTCAGCTTTAAACTCTGAACTGTTATTGCTAGAGACACTCAGAATACACATATTTGAAGCAATTGCTGTTAATCATTTATAAGTAAACAATCTGTTATATAAACTCTCTCTCTCACACACACACACACACACACACACAAAATAACACTAAATCCTACAGCAGGTTTTTCCAGTGAAAAATGTCAGATATCAGCAGATTCATCAGTCCGTCACTAGTTCTTCTTTCTGGAGTGTTGTTCCTGTTTGAACACGCTGAGGCCGTGACCTTGATGTGTGAGTGATTCAGTCGTGTTAAAGTGAGTAAGAGACTTTATTAGAGGTGCATGAGCTGCTCATGTGTCCAGCAGATGATCCCAGGCTATTGGACAGTTATCATGAGTATCAGATCCTCCACGGAGCATGATGTTGATGACGTATCAGCATTGTGTCGCAGTAATTGACGTGTTCGGTTTCGGCTCTGATGATGTGTTTCTGAGCTCACACGTGTTCAGTTGTGGTTTTGAGCTGGTCTCAGTCTGTTTGATGTGTGCTTGGTTCAGAAACGGTGCAGATCTGTAGTTCCGGTCTGATCTGTTTAAACCTGGTTTATAAAATGAGTGATTTTGAGGAATAAGTAGTCCCTTTTCTGTCTAAGCGGGCGGTTTTGAGCTAGAACGAGCTGATGTTATACTGATATAGTCTGACTGGCTGGTGTTATTTTGGAGCCTTACTGAAGTTAGTCAAATGAAAAGTGTGAGTTTCACTTCTCAAAACCCTCAAGCGAATCATCTCGTCTTTATTCAGATGACTGGAGTGTGTTTCTATCTGATTTGTTTTATATATCTGAAAAGATAACTGCACACTCCTCACTGAATTATACATAATGAGGTCATGTGACAATATATGCTGCATGTAATGTAAATATAATTTTTTAAATGTATTTATTGTTTACATATTATTTACATGCAATCAGACTTGAGAAGATTTACTGACCATCTTTTTTTTGTCCTTAGAACTGTATTTGCATGATTTCATTATTAGTTACTCAGCTCAAAAAACAAACAAATCTTTAGTGATTTTTTTTCCCTGTTAATAATTGCATTATAAATTTCTCTTTGCAAATTGCATGCAAAAGATTGCTTTATAAATTGCAATTTATGTGTGGCAAAAGGACCCGGATTGTATGTAGAACCATATTTTTAAAATATAGAGAATCAAAAGCTAACATTTACCTTGTATACAATATTTTAATATTTAAAATAATTATATTAAATATTTGGTTAATATTAAATACAGAATTTATTTTGTTTAATTTGTAGCATATACAATCTTAATTAATTTGCATGCCAGGATCACACACGCACGCATGCGCACGCTCGCTCGCTCGCTCACACACACACTCATACACACACACACACACTCTCACACTCACACACTCTCACACACACACTCACACACTCTCACACTCACTCACTCACTCACTCACTCACTCACACACACACACACTCACACACACACACACACACA